AACCCCTTGGGCCTCTGTGCCGAGCAGGCATCCGTCCGCCTTCCCCTCTTGTACCTGTTGGGACCAATACTTGTCTAGCTCTTCTCTGTTCTTCCGAGCCAGCTCATCATACTGGGCCCGGATGTCCGCCATGATCTTGCTGAGGTCCTGAGATTTGGGGGCATCCAACTCCACGGTCAACCCAGAGTTGGCGATCTGGTTTTGTAGACCATTTACTTCCTAATGGAGGGAGGGACAAAAAAATGAGGAGGGGGTCACGGTAGAGTTCCAGTAAGGCTCTTCAGCTGCGACTGCCTCTTCCAGGCCTGCAGGATCAGTTGGAGAACAGAGGAAACTCTCAGCTTTAAACTCTGGGCTTTCTACTCCAGATGGGTAAAATAGCACTCACTCACTGCCCATGCCTGTAACTCACAGGCGATTTCTCTCTCCTCACTTCACCCTGTCCCTCCATCAAGCCTCCTTCCATAAACCTGCTCTTTACCTTCTTTCAGCAAGCCCTGCCAGCTCCGCCTACTCTCACTCCTCCATCACCCCTCACTCCTAGTGCTTCTACCTTTGTCTTCATCTCGTTCTCTCACCCATGGCCTCTTGATTTCACCACACTAACTCAGGTGACACACTAAGTACGGCCCAGGCTGGTAGTTCTGAACTTCCCTGTAAGACTACTTGTAGGTGGCCTGCTCCATCTATTTGCCCACCCAGACTTGTCTTGGCCCCCGGTTCCTGGCCTGGCCAGTGGCCCCTCCTTGCCTCCTCATGGTTCTTCTTCATGAAAAGCAGCTCCTCCTTGAGAGCCTCAATCTCTGTCTCCAGCTGCAGTCGAGTGATATTGGTGTCATCGATGACCTTTCGGAGCCCATTGATGTCACTCTCCACAGACTGGCGCATGGCCAGCTCCGTCTCATACCTGTGGGAGTGGAGGCGATCAGATGGGCACCCATCTCTAATCCAGAACCTTCTCAACCTATACCACCTCCTAAGAGCAGCACCGTACCCACTACAAACTGGCAACCGAGTCAGGAATCAGATAATAATCCTCTGAGCACCATTCCTGGCAGTTGGGGGCCAGTCTCCTCAAGCTGGGTTACATAAGAAATAAACCGATGGAGCCTAACTCTCATCCACCCAGCTCCACCCACAGTTGAACAAGATCCCACTGTGAGCCCTTAGCTGACCCAGCCCCAGGGGCAGAACATTCTTAGCTCCACCCCCAGCTCCCTAGCTCCTCCAGCCTTACTTGACTCTGAAGTCATCAGCAGCAAGGCGGGCATTGTCAATCTGTAGAACGATGTGGGCATTGTCCACAGAACTTGCAAAGATCTGGGGAGATTGGTGAGAGACGTTACTCCATGAATGCGAAGTCAATGATGAGATGGGCTGAGTGTGTCGGAGGCGTTAAATGTCTCAGTGAAAACTTCCTGGTCCCAGGAATAGCCACCTTCCACCTGTGCCCCTCACCCTGTTCCCTCCTTTCCTGGAGTCCCAAATCTCAGAGGTCCCACTGGTCTCCCGCTACCCCTCCCTCAGGGCCTCTGCCGGATAGCCTGCTTGCAGTAAGCACCTAACAAGTCCTCTCTCCGGCCCTCTCCTGAGATTTTTTTTCCTAATGCACCTGCTCCCCGCCCCGCCCCCCCCCAGGCCTCTAGTTTATTCTTAGATGACTCAGCCTTAACTACATCCGCTTAACCCTCCGACTGTCCTCACTTGCCCAGAAGCCAGGGTCTGGGTCCTTTTTATGGGCCTTGTCTCACTTCCCTCCATAATGTCCGCTTCCCAGGCAAAGCTCCTGTCTCCCCCTTCCCATTATCTCCAAGGAAAGGACCTTCCCACGCTCGGTCACCACCCTTGGGGTCCCTGTGGCCAGGGGTGTGTGTGGAAATGCAGGGCTTTCCTAACACCCTCCATGGACAATAGGAGGTTGGGTGGAGATAGAAAGGGGGAAGGAGTCAATTCACCCCACCCTATTAAAATTCCTGTCCTGGGGGGAGGGGGAGGCAAACAGGGCTGCGAGTTGGGCTTCTCACTCCATGCCCCCTTACCTGAGCCCTCAGGTCCTCGATGGTCTTAAAGTAATGTCCCCAGTCTCTGACCTGGGGTCCCTTCTTCTCCAGGTGTTCCCGGATTTTGCTCTCCAGTCTCCGATTATCAGCCTCCAGGCTCCTCACCCTCTCCAGGTAGGAGGCCAGGCGGTCATTCAAGCATTGCATAGTCTCCTTCTCGGTCTGGATGCCCCCTATGCCCGCTAGACCTCCCGCCATCCCCGCGGCCAGGCCCCCGGACCCCCAACCACCGCGGACGCTGGTGGAGTGGGATACAGAGATTCGGGAGCCGGAGCCCCCTGCACCTGCATACACGCTGGCCGCGCTGCTGGCCGGCCGGACCCGGTGGCTGGGCGTCTGCACGGAGCCCAGGGTCCGGTAGCTGGTGGAGAAGCTGGAGCGGGTGCTGAAGCTCATGTTGTCCACGGAGGAAGGTGAGAAGCCAAGACTCAGGTTCGAGCCGCGGAGAGTGCCAGATCTGCAACTCAAGTTATATCGCAGACGGAGGAGGTGGGGTCTGGCCGGGCTAGGCTCCGCCTCTGCCCCTGAGTCGCCACGCAAGCCTGGGCCACAGGCACAGGTAGACCGCAGTGGAGACAACGTGTCCTCGATTCCAAACCCTCCCCATTCTTCCCCCGCCCCTCAATTCTCCAAAAAGGGTGTGACTTACCGTTACGGACTGGGCAGCAAGCAGGTGATGTTGGCTCTGGCAGCTCTGGGCAGGAAATGACGTTATTATACCCCTCCCCAGGTTGAGGAGGTGCTGGCCAGTTGAGAATTTTGGGTTTTGGGGGCTGAGAAGTGAAGTCCGGTGTGAGTCTCCGTAGCTGTCCTCAGCCTGAAGCCCAAGTTCTCTCCTGCTATGGGGATCTTGGGGGGAGGGGGGATCCTAGAGCCCCAGGAGTCCGGGTAAGAAAACTTGGGGGCTGGAGAAGAGGAAAAAAAACTTAATCCTGAGCCTCAAATCACCTGAACGCGTTCACTGGCACAAAGTCCTGCGGGTATCATATAGATGTGTCTGTCAAACACATTCACTCACCAAGTATGTTCAGACTCCTGAAGACACACTCACCCCTCTCCAACTCACTCTCATGGAGGTCTGGACTCAGTGGGATACTTTCTAATTTGAACAAGGGGCATGTCCTCGCTTCTACACACCTATGAATCAGCCTTGCCCACACCCTTGGGTAAAGAAATCTACCAGGAGCTTACAGTTCAACAAATAGTTTTGGGGTAACTACTGTATGTCAGGCCCTGCTCTAGTTGTTGGGGGAACAGGAGTGAGTAACTGAGACCAAACTCCCTCATGGAGATTGTAATATGTCCCACATGGTATTGGGGGGGGGCCTCAGCGGACAGACACGCACATCTAGAAACAGTCCAGCTGCGACTTAGCCCTTTTGGCCAGCCCCCCTTACTAGGACTTTTCTGCAGGCCCCCTCCTTTCCTCAAAAGGCTCTCTGGATCCCGAGCCTGTCCCCAGGGGGCTGTCTCCTCCAGGAAGCTCAGGTCTGTCCCCAGGGGGCTGTCTCCTCCAGGAAGCTCAGGTCGAAAGAATGGAGGTAGAGAAGTTCTGACTGTTCCCTGCGCCCCTGAAGCTGGATGACCACCCCCTGCTAAATGAACTGGAGGAATCCAGAGGAACTGGGCCTTCAAGTCTGTCATCACTGGCAGCTTCTTTGTCCAGCAGGGTCTGGCATTACACATTTGTCTGTGCTCTTTGCTCTGGAGTGGACCTATTGATTCTTATCGAGCTGCTTGCTGAACTGCAGAGGTGGAAATAGGCAGAAGACTAGGCCTGGGAAGGAAAGAGGGCCTGGGAGAGGCTGGGCCATGGGACCACCCAGGGAAGCTTGGCCCTAGGCTTGGCCCAGGACAGCTACTTTCCAGTGGGCAAAACCCCACAGTACTCAATGGGAATTGGCTAGGAGAAGGTCAAAGTGGAAGCTGGCCAAGGGAGGGTCAGGGCTTGCTGAAGGCCAAAAGGCAAATGAAATGCAAAATAGCATACAAGCAAATGCCCACTCCTTTTGCATGGGAGGTTTCTGGGAGATTAGAGGTGCCAGCCAGTCAAAGGGGTTTCTCTTGATGTCCCCCTCACTTCTCTTGATGTGCCCCTGGGTTCTAGAATTGACATGTTGTGCAGAAATGCACAATAAGGTGTATAGATTGAACATGTGATAATTGTCTTTGCTGTTTCTACTAAGCTTGAAGTAAGCCAGTTTGGGTACTTTGCTAGCCGTGTGACCTTGGGGAAGTCACTTCTGAACTTCAGTTTCTTCACTTATAAAGGGGCACTAATAAAACCTGTCCAATCTATCTCCTGGGGTGACAGTGGATGTAAATATTAATTATCACTCACTCATTTATTAAACAAATACCAATTACCTAATGCAGAGTAAGTCTCTAAAACATCCAGGAGGGCATAGGTGGGTGGGGAGAGGGGAAGAAGGGACTGTCATCAATTTAATTCTAAAAATGGCTCAAGGATGTAAAGTCACTTAAGATGCCTGGGAGACTTTGAATTCCACTGGGGATCTGGCCCAAATTCCAGATCTTATCCAAGCTCTTTCCCACATCCTTCTCTGATCCATCCTCCCCCACTCCAGCTTCTCAGGACATTTTGGGGGTCTGTGGAGGTTTAGTCCAGGGGCAGGAGTGGAGAAAGCTGCCAGTTGAGTCTTATCTCCTTCCCATAGCTCGTCAGTGGCCACATTCCTGACCTCTTGCGGCATCGGGGCAAATACCGACCTCAGGTTTCCAGCACCAGCCTGCGCTTTTCCACCACTTCCAGATTCCTCTGTGGTTCAAGGCCTTTTCACTCCCGCCCCCCACGCTGCCTGAGAAGCTCTGGAAGAGCTGGGGAAGGGGACGTGAGGGAGAAGTTTCGGTCCCCAGATTTCTAGCCCTGGGGCTCTCAGACAGTGTGGGGATGGGAGCCAAGGGGAAGGGGGGAGGGGTGATTGGGAGGCTGGTCCTGGGAGAAGGAGGGGCCCTGGCGAGAGGTTCCCGGGACAAAGTGAAAAGGCACTTAAAATAAAGAGGTCCAGCAGAATGGAGTCCTGAAAGGGGGGAAATGGTTCCCCACCACCATCCTGCTCTGCATTCCGATGTCCTGCTGAGGGACAGTGGGAAAGCTGAGGGGCAGGTTTAACTTTTGAGTAAACTCCGAGATGATCCCGGTAAAGGTGGGTCAGCTCATTCTTCCCCCTCCCCACATTCTCCCTCTGAGGGCTGGAGCCAAAGGCCCTGGGGAAACTAGATGGTGGAAGATTAGAGGATTAGGCAGGATCGTGAGGCCTGGAGTCCTTCAGGTTTTGCTGAAAATTTCTTGCTCAACTCTGACGGGGGCAGGGTGTGGTGGGGGGGCGAGAATAGCAATTGAGAAGGGAGAATACTTTAGAATAGCAACTGAGGTATGGGTGTGTGGTGGGGGTGGGGTGCGTAGAGCCCAAATAGTAAGTAACTGATTCCCATCCTCTTTTCCAAAGGTGTGATTGTGTGTTGGAGAGAACGACAGGTCCCTGTGTTGGGGAAGGTTGGAGGCAACCAGATGGGTGAGAGGATGGCCTTGGGAGACTCGCTCCAACTCTCCTCACTGGAGGGCCCAGAGCATGCCAGCGGGCCCCTCACAGGAGGATTCCAAGGGCTACTGGAAATGATTTTGATTTAAACAATTAATGAAAAGGGGGTGCCGGCTGGGGGTGGCTGGGGGACCAGCAAGTGTGGTTAGGTGGGCTGTGGAGGCTGGTGGGATGATGTGAGTTGTAGCTGGGTTAGGTGTAGGACCCAGTCTGAATCTCTCAAGACTTTGAGAATTTCTCTGGGGGGTGCTCCTGCCACGTTTGTAGGCCCTGGCTTGACCTGTCCAGTGTGCAGTGGGGGAGGGGTTCTGAGGGCTCAGGCTGGCCCTTTACCAGAGGGCTGAGAGGGTCAAAGAATACTCTGACACTTTTATGTTGTTGCTTCAGTTGGGTTTGCACCCAAGGGGTCATTCCCCAGGAATAAAGAAAGGAAAGATCAGTGCTGAGGAGCACATGACTGACTGTCCAGGGATCTTTAGTGCTGAAACTCAGAGAGGATTCCTAGGAATCTGACTCTTCTATGAGCTCCTTCTACTCCCTGGGCCCCCCTGCAACCTCTTCTGGCAAAACTAGCTCTCACCTGCCAGAAGGGGCCTCTCCTAGTCTTATGACCTCTTCTTCTCACCTGGTCCTCCCGGTCTCTCTTCAGGTACAACTCCTATACCTCAGTGTCATCCCCCCAGCCTATAATCTTTTTCCAATCTATGGAGAGGTGGGTGGCATGCAGGATGAGCATGGCATTTGGTGTCATAAGACCTGGTTTCAAGGTCCCACTGCTGGCTAGATGATCTTGGGCAAATTTACTTGCCTTGGTCTCCCTGGCTGTAGAGTAAGGATAATAGGTATATTTACTCCAAGAGTTTTCATAAAGATCAAATGAGAATCTGTTCAGAGGAGTTTGACAGTTGAAAAGCCAGCTGATTTTCTCTCTTGTCTGGTTCACCCTCACCTACTCCTTTTCTTCCCAGCTCCCTTATTTTACCCTCACTACTGTCTAGACTTCTGCTCCCGGTTCATCACTATTTCTTTCCTTTCAAACTGGGCACAGGGTAAGGGCAGCTAAGACTGAGTCTATGGAAAAGGGGGTGAAATTGAACAATAGAGTGTCTGAGAACCTATCTGAAAGTTCTCCTGCCCATGGCCATCTCTCTATCGATCTCTCTCCCTTGGTTTTAGACTTGGCTGAAGCGTGTGGTAGGGGATACAGCTTTCAAGGCCAAGGCCTGCCCTTAGGGCTTTTGCACAAACTTGACAAAGGTGGCCTCTTCCTTGGCTCCTTAGCCTAGTGCCTTTGTGCACTGACCAATCTGTATGGCCAGATATGGTGGCCCTGTCTGGAGTCACCCACCTAGAGATTTGGGGGAAACCCTGATGTGAATGAGATGACCTAAGGAAAAGGGTGAGACAAAAGAAGTGGGCAGAATCTGCAGGGGGAGGGGTTGGGGTCAGGGATTAAGGCAAGAAGAGGAGGAAAACATGGGAAAAAGATGGAGAAAGAGGAAGAGGCCCAGGTTCCTGCCAGCTGTCAGGAGAGAGGTATCATGGAAGCCCAGGAGAAGGAGTTTCCAGGAGGGGCAGTCCAGAGGCCAGATACACAGACAGATCAAGGAGGCTGAGGACAAGAGCACTTCCAGTAAAGTTATGGACACTAAAGCTGGGAGCTGCAAGGCTGAGGAGTGAGTGGTTAGTGACAAAATGGAAGCAGAGCGTAGACTTTTCTTTTAAGAAGTTTGTCAGGGAAGGAAAGGAAAAAAATAGGATAATATCTTGTAGGGAGCAAGGTTGATGGAAGATTTCTTTAGGATGGTACAGTTTAGCCAAGCTGTTTGACAATTAAACAAGAGATAATGATAAATTGTGGTTGGTGTTATGCCAGGGCAAGTCCAGGGACAAAGGGGAGGCCATTGCAACAACTGCTAACCTAGCTTAAGATCCTGGGGGAATTGACATTTAAGCTGAAACCTGCAAGGTGATAGTACTAGTAGGTGGTACAGCTGGGATTTGACATATGTAACTCTATATGCTCTTGCATCTCTATCGATGGGAAGAGTGAGACAGAGGAAGGAGGAGACTGCCGCACAGGTGCTGAGAAACGTGGTCTATCCACAAAGCATGAAAGGATACGTGAATGATTTTGAGGTCCCAGTGGAGGTTACGCAGCATGGCTCAATGACGAGCAATCACCAAGAAACGATCTGTATCCTGGGGCATCTCTCACTGAGAAATGAGAAGGTGGGAGTGGTGGAAACTCAGGAGCAAAGGAGTCTAGGCTTAAAACATTGCTGAAATGACAGACTCTTGGGGAGGGTTGAATGGGGAAGCAAAGGCAACCGGAAGACCTCCGTGGAAAAGGAAGAGTCCGAGAACTGGGAGTTGACATGACGGATGACATGACGAATGAGAACTATATAGGGAACATGAGATGTGGCATGTCAGAGAGGGGATTATCAGAGTTTAGGATGAGAGCAGTTGATGTCATTTGAGAGCGGCTGAAGGTGCTGAAAATCATGGAGTTAAGGATTCAAGGAAAAGAGATGATGAGAAAAGAGCATAGATTTTGGAGTTAGACAGATCTGAGTTTATATCCCTGATGTTCAGCTTTTTTTTTTAATTCTCTTGTTGCAGGAATTAAAGGTACATAATAGGATCTGGAGCATAGCATGTGCTTTTCAAGGGTGCCGCCTTGCCTCTTTCTGGAAGAATCATCAGCATGAAGATTCAAGTCTCTCCATTTGGTTCAGTTTCACAATGAGCTGGAAATAGAAAGATAAATAAAAAAATAATAATCAAATAAATGATAATTACAGGGCACAGATAATTTGGCAAACAAAATATGAAAATCTCTATCAAAGGAGGGAATAATTCATCCATTCATTCACTATTTGTAAGGGACTTACCATATGCCAGACGTGTTCTAGGCTCTGGAGATGTAGCCAAGAAAAATCAAATAGGTTAGCTTGCTCTGACACAACTCACATTCTAGGTGTTGAAGGATTGGGGTCATGGAGAACCTTATGGGGGAGGAAATGCTTGGATAGAGCTTCAAAAAATGAATAAGAACTTGCTAATGAGGCAAGGAGGTCAAGGAAAAGGCTTTCTGCATAGAACCACCAGCACTGTGACCTATTATAGCATGCATCAGAGTCTCCACCACCAAGTTTCAGAACTGTATCTCCTGCTAGTCACTAGATATTATCCCCAATTGGAGGATTCAAAGAAATCATAAACTTATCAGATCTAAGGCTGAATGGATAATCTTCCTGCGTCTGCTTTTTTTTTTTTACTTGCCTTTAAAAAATTCAGATTTTGTGGTACAATTTGCATATAGTAACATTTACCCTTTTTAAGTGTATAGTTCAATAAGTTTTGACAAATAAATACAGTTGTAGAACTGCTACCATAAATCAATATATAAAACATTTTAATCACCTCAAAAGTCCCATTGTGTTCCTTTATAGTCAATCTCTCTCACCTACCCCAGCTCTGGCAACCACTGATCTGTCTCTATAGTTTTTCCTTTTTCAGAATGTCATATAAATTAAATCATACAGTATGTAGTCTTTTGTCTTTGGCTTCCTTCACTTAGCATAATGCTTTTGTGATTCATCCATGTTATTGCACGTATCAGTAGTTTGCTCCTTTTTATTGCTGTAAAGCATTCCATTGGATGGAGGTAAAACAATTTGTTTATCCATTCACTAGTACATAGATATTTGAGTTGTTTCCAGTTTTTAGTAATTATGAATAAAGCTATTTTTATAAACATTTGTGTACAGGTCTTTATGTAAATAAATATTTTCATTTCTCTTGGATAAAATACCCAGGGATGGGATGCTGAGTTATATAAGTATATGTTTTTTTTTGTTTTGTTTTGTTTTATTTTATTTTATTTTGGTTTACATTTTAGCACATTTTATTTATTTATTTTTCTGGATTCATCGTACAATTCAATGATTTTTTAAAATTATAGTTGGCATACAATAATATATTAGTTTTAGTTGTATAGCAGAGTGATTAGAGATCTATACGTCTCACAAAGTGATCACCCCACTAAATCTAGTACTCCTCTTCTCCCTTACATATTTATTAAAGCGTATGTTTAACTTCATGATAAACTGTGAAACTGTTTTCTAAAGTAGCTGTATCATCATTTTGCATTCTCACCAATAATGTATGAGGGAGTTCCAGTTGCCAGTTGCTCTGCATCCTCACCAGCACTTTGTATTGTCTCTCTCTTTTTTTTTTTTTTAACTATAGCTTTTCTGATGGGTGCATAGTAGTATTTCATTGTGGTTTTAATTTGTTTTTTTCCTAGTGACTAATGATGTTGAGCATCTTTTCATGTGCTTTTGTTGCCATCTGTATCTCTTCTTTAATAAAGTGTCTGTTCAAATCTTTTGTCCATTTAAAAATATTGATTTTTAAAAATCATTATTAGAATTTGAGAGTTTTTTAAAAATAAATGTGGGTTTAATTTCATCACATATGTGATTTATAATTATTTTCTCCCAGTCTGTGGTTGTCTTTCCATTCTCTTAACAGTGTCTTTTGAGGAGAGGTTCTTAATTCTGAAGAAGTGCAATTTATCAAGTTATTTTATGGATCATGCTTTAGTGCTGAATTTAAGAAATCTTTGCTTATCTGAGAGTCACATAGATTTTTTTCTGTTTTCTTCTAGAAGTTTTATGGTTTTAGGTTTTATATTTTGGCTTATGATTTATTGTGTTAATATGTTGGCAGATATTTCTCCCCATCTGTGGCTTATCTTTGTATTTTTTAATATAAAATTTTATGTTATTTTTCATCAGCTCAAGTCAACAATTTAAAGTGAGAATTAAATGCATTAAAGGGAAAATAATTTTAGAGTAAAAGGTAGGTTAGAATTTTCACAGAGGTAACAAGGGTTGCAAGGAATGCATGACACAAAAATATCAATTAAATCTTCTAAGTTTGACTGCAATTAATCTTGCCCAGTATACCAAAACTACATTCAAATCATTTTCTTTTAATTGACCATATTGTGCTTTCTTACAGATTTTTCAACAGTCATGAAGCTTTAAATTTTATACAGATGGTTGATTATACTATAGTACTTAAAACATGTATCTAAATTTAAAAAAATATTTTTATTTTTTCAATTATAATTGACATACAATATTATTTTAGTTTCAGGTGTACAACACAATGATTAGGTATTTATGTAACTTACGAAGTGATCACCCTGATTAGCACCCATCTGATACCATATATAGTTATAACAGTACTTATCTTTGTATTTTCTTAACAATATCATTAGAAGAGATGAAGTTTTAAATTCTGATATAATTCCATTATCAATTTTTTCTCCTAAGTTTTGTGTTTTTGTATTCAATCTAAGAAATCTTTATCAAACCCAAGATCACCAAGATTTTTTCTTGTGTTTTCTTATAAAAGTGTATAGTTTTAGGTTTTATATTTTGAGTTGATTCTTGTCTACGATGTGAGGTTAACTTTTTTCTTTTCATGAGGATGCCCAAATGTTGCGGCACCATATGTTGAAAGGACTATTCCTCTTCTAATGATCTAGTTTGACACCATTGTGTGAGTCTCTTTTGGGAATTTATTTTGTTCCAATAATGTATATATATTGTTATGCTGATACTTCGCTGTCTTTATTACTGTAGCTTTATGAAACGAGATAGTGTGAGTCAACTTTCTTCTTATTTAAAATTGTTTTGGCTGTTCCAGGCTTTTTGCTTTTCTGTGTAAATTTTTAGAATCAGTTTCTCAATTTCTAAGTAAAAGCTTACTGAGATTTTCATTGGGACTGCATTAAATTTGTAGATTAACTCAGAGAGAGAATTAGCATTCTAACAACTGGATATATCTCTCCATTCATATAGATCTTCTTTAATTTTTCTCATTAATGTTTTTTAAAAAATTTTCAGCACATAAATCTTGCACATATTTTGTTTGATTGGAAGATGTTTTATGTTTTAAATCTGATTGTAAATGATATTGCGTATTCAATTTCAATTTCTGATTCTTCATTGCTAGTATATAGAAATACAATTGATTTTTGTATATTGAGAATTTATCTTGAAACTTTAGATTCTTTGGGATTTTTTACATAGAATATTATTTCATTTGTGAATAAAAGCTTTATTTCTTCTTTTCTAATTGATATGCCTTTTATTTCTTTTTCTTGACTTGTGCTGGCTAACGCCACCAGTACAATGTTGAATCGAAGTGGTGTAAGCAAATATCTTTGCTTTGTTCCTGATCTTGTGGGGAAAGCATTCATTCTATTACTATTATAAACAATGTCAGTTATAGGTTTTTGTAGATGCTTTTCATCAAGTTGAGGAAATATTCATAGTTTTCTGAAAGTTCTTAATCATGAATAGTTGTTGAATTTTGTCAAATGGTTTTTCTGTATCAGTTGAGATGAACATGATTTTTCTTTTTTAGTCTGTTAATAAAATGAGTTACATTGATTGATTTCAAATATTGAACCAACCTGTATTCCTGAGAGAAACCTCACTTGATTATAATGTATTGTTCTTATTCATTGCTAGAGTTGACTAAGGATTTCGCATTGAAACTCATGGAGGATATTGGCCTACAGGTTTCTTTTCTCGTACTATTTTTTGTCTTGCATTGATATCAGGGTAATGCTGATCTTATAAAATGAGTTAAAAATTATTTCCTTCTCTTCTATTTTCTGGAAGAATTTATGTAGAATTGGTGTTATTCCTTCCTTAAGTTATTGCTTCACCAATGAAGCAATCTGGGTTTAGAAATTTTTTTTTTTGAGAGGTTTTTAACTAAGAATTAAATTTCTTGGGGGTGGCTCCATAGTGTAGTGGTTAGCACGTCTGTTTTACATGCAGAAGGTCCTGGGTTCGCTTCCCAGGTGGAGCCACTGACCATACCCCGGGTGCACCAGGCCCCAGGTGCACACCCCGAGCAGAGGAGACGCCCCGCCTTCAGAGATCCAGTTCTTCAGAGGAAATGGCAACCTCCATAGGTCAGGAGTAGAAGTGGGGGGAGGGGTTAAAGAGGGGGGGAAAAAAAAAAGTTAAATTTCTTTAACAGATATATAACTACTCAGGTTATTTAATTATTTTTACATGAGCTCTGGTAGTTCGTGTTTTTAAAAGAATTTGTCCATTTTGTCTAAGCTGTCTAATTTATAGGCATCAAGTTGTTCATAATATTCATTTATGATCCTTTTAATGTCTATAGGATCTGTAATGATATCCCTCTTTCATTGCTGATATTGGTAATTTGTCTGTCTGTCTGTCTGTCTGTCTCCTTCCTGGATTGAGGTTTATTATAAATTTTTATCTTTTTCAAGAATCAGCTTTTGGTTTCATTGGGTTCCTTTACTGTTTTTGTTTTTAAGGTCATTAATTTCTGCTCTTATGTTTATCCTACCTTCTGCTTGCTTCTTGCTTTGGTTTTAATTTGCTTTTCTTTTTTCGGTTTCTTAACTTGGAAGCTTAGATTTTTATTTCAAAGCTTTCTTGTTTTTTTTTTAATATAAGTGTTTAATGTTATAAATTTATCTCTATGCACAGCTTTATCTGTGTTTCAAAATGTTTAATTAATAAAAAATATTTTTAAAATTCCCTTGTGATTTCTTCTTTTATCCATGGGTTATTTAGAAGAATGTGGTTTAATCTCCAAATAGGTGGGAGATTTTCCAGATATCATTCCATCATTAATTTCTAGTTTAAGCCTCTTATTATCAGAAAACATCGATCATATGATTTCATTTCTTTTAAATTGGTTGAGAATTGTTTTTTGATCCAGAATATGGTCTATCTTGATGAATGTTCGTTCCATGCACACTTGAAAAAATATGTAATATGCTGTTCTCGAGTAAAATTTTATTTATATTCATTAGATCACATTGGACGATGGTATTGTTCAGGTCTTCTATACCTTTACTGATTTTCTGTCTATTTGATATATTAATTAATGAGAAAAGAGTGTTGAAATCTTCAAGTATAATTATGGATTTGTTTATTTCTCCTTTAGTCCTATCCATTTCTGTTTTATGTTTTTAAAAACTTTGTTGTTGGGAGCATATGCATTTAGGATTGTTATATCTTCCTGGTGAATTAGCCCCTTTAGTATATATGTAATATCTCTCTTTATCCTAGATATATTCCTTATTTTGCACTTCATTTTATCTGATATTTATGTGACTTTCTTCTAATTTTTCCTTCTCAGGGAATAACATCACCATCCAATGAGGTGTCAAGGGCAGAAGCTGAGTTGTCATTCTTGACACCTCCTACCCTTCACTACCATATTAACCCATTATCAAAACCTGTCCATTTTACCTCTTAAATGACTCTTGACTCTTTCTACTTCTCTCCAGCACCACAATCACCACCCTAGTCCAAGTTATCATTGTATTATCTCTTGCTTGGCTTACTCTATTTG